CATACACAATAGAATCCCATACTCAATCGTATCCCATACTCAAGAGGAGTGTTTGAAACACTCTTATAGGCTAAAATTTATTGGAAATTATAAAATCAGGAGGGTTACTCAATAAGTTGTGGGATCCACCAAATTTTGTAATTTCCAACAAATTTCAATCATTGAGAGGGTTCAAAAGGATGTGTTAGAGAATGTATTCCTAGCATTGCTTTATATTTTAATGCTCACTGTATAAGATAGATAAATACGTATAAGCACATAAGTGAAAAGTCAATATCACTAAACGACCATGTATCAAGTACCAACTATTAGTTAGTTGCCTCTAGGAACAAAACACCAGCAAACACAGCTTTTGTAAATCTAATACACAGGCTCCCAGGTTCTATCATAGTACCTGCGTCTCTCCTGAGCATCAATAAAATCATTGTAAACTCTCAGCATGTCCCACGCAACAGATTTCTGACGCCCACACATAAAACAAACAGAAAGTATGTTATTATGTTAATCATATACTATAAATACAAATGAAGACCACATCATGTTATATAAAATTGAAAACAGCATCAATATTATTACTTGAAATGGAAAAAAAAAGTGAAATATATGAACAGTAAGAATTCTGAAAATGTGCTTCTAATATGACAGTTTATGCAATCCATCACACCAAGAGAATAAAAATAGCAGCAAAGTGGCATTAAGTCCCCTGGGAGCCACTTGATCCCAGGATCAAATATCTGCTATGCCCATTTCTGCACTTCAGCCTACAATCCCTCTCCCAATCAAATCACAACCCTTGCAAGTAAAAAACTTGAATTCGGAGAACATATTTTGTTACGTATCCAAGTGGGAGACGTAATTAAATACGATCACACTAGGTAGAAAAGACAATGAACAAATGATAATGGATGAATGAATTTCTTTTATTGATGGTAATATCTGAATAAACAAAAGTAAACAATAATTGGGAACATAACCTCCTTTAATTACTTGGGAGCATAACCTCCCTCACATGACACATAGCCGCCAGTCAACAAAACTCAATAATCAAAAACATGCCCTAAACAATAGCATCTAGCTTTATTTATATTAAATATTCCCCCATAATATAATTCTATTTACTATAATTAACTTATACCGAATAATTTCCTAGAATATAATTCTATTTACTATAATTAACTTATACTGAATATTTCCCTAGGATATAATTCTATTTACTATAATTAACTTATACTGAATATTTCTCTAGGATATAGCTCTATTTACTATAATTAACTTATATTAAATATTTTCCTAGGATATGGCCTTATTTACTATAATTATTTCCCGCCCATCCTAATCGTTGTCCCAGTTAGGATAGTCACTCTTCAATCGGCTCTAGCTCTTCACCGCCTTCTGTTCGGCTTGCTTCCCCCTATATCCTACCGTTCGGCTCCAACTCTTCACCACCTTCCACCGTTCGGCTTGCTTCCTCCTGTCTCCTACCGTTCGAACTCCAGCTCTTCACCGCCTTCCACCATTCGGCTTGCTTCCCTTTTGCCTCCTACCGTTCGGCTCCCCTGCCTTCTATCCTATCACCCAGTATCCTATCATATTCCCTAATAGAAGTGCAAATAATATGTCTATACTTCTCTGATAGTGTATATCATGTATAGGTCCTACTGTGAGTAGCATGGACAAGCAAGTAGTTTAGAGCTACTCCTTTGTTAGTTATAACAGTTGTTGAGTTACTTGCAACAGCAGTCAGTCTGTTAGACCCGAGCTCTACCCATGTACCTTACGGTAAACACAAATCAACGGCAATGAAATCATTGATATTATTCTCTTTTTCCAAATTCTATAATCTTTGTTAGATATATTATATCTTTTATCTTTTAGTTATTTGTTATTATTTCTCATTTGTATTTTGGGCTTAGCCCATATTTCTTTTATTATAAATAGAGAACCCTATGTGTGTATTTTACACTAAGGGAGATTAATCCAAATATAGTTTTTCATTATATTCAACATGGTATCAGAGCAAGTTCTCTGATCCTCTTCTGGTGGTCTCTGCTGTCTGTCGGCGGTCGGCCGTCATGGCCGCCGGCAGCCCCTAAAATCTCAGTGGGCAGTTCATTTTTTCTTCTTAAAATCTCTGCCACAGTCAGCACCAGTCCAGACCCAGTGTGCCACTGTTGTCGCAGCCACTTTCCGCTGCCGTCGCTGCTAACTCCGGCCACCGTCGCCGCCGGCCGTCGTCACAGTTTCGACCGGTGACCAGCGGATCTGAAGCGTCTCCTCGAGCGACGGCCAACCCCGCCGGAGTGATGACCAGACTCCTCACCACGCACCTCAACGCGCCTCCACGCGCCGCTTCTTCTCGGCCAGTCTCGGTCGCGTGTTCTGCACGCGCCACCTTCCCGGTGTCGGAGTTTCACCGCGTCACTGCAGATCGTCTCGCCGGAGCTTCTTGAATGTGTTTTGGTTCCTGTTTCTCCGTTTTGTTGGCTTGGGCTCATACCTAGGGTTTTCTCCCTCACGTTTTTGGAACCCTAAGTCCCTTTGATATCCGCGCCGTTTGCCGCTGTTCGGCCGTTTGCCGCTGTATGCTTCCAACCACTGTAGGCCCCCATCACCTCGTTAGTTAGTGATGGCAATCCCTGTAGTTTTGTCGCTTCCAACCACTATAGGCCCCATCAGTGATGGCAATTTAGTCCCTGCAGTTTTATAGCTGTCAACCGCCGTTGCAGTCGCTACCGTCTCAAAAAGACGCAACTGCGGCAGTTCTTCTTGGGCTAGAGTTTAGCCCGATCTTCTTGTGATACACTGCTAAGTATCACCACTTGGGAGTTGTCCAGCAAAGAATTTTGGACCTCCAACATATCTTTGGATCTTTGATGCCTCTGTTTCAGCATTGTAGCTTAATATTTTGTTTTGTTTTAGTGGTCCAACAACTGTGATATTCCACATTTCTGCCCTTCACACTAAGGGGGAGTACGTTTCCAAGACACTGCAAGTCACATATATATGGGTGTAGTCCCTGCAGTTTTGTAGATTTCAGCTACTACTGTTGATCCCGTCACCCAGCCATCATTGATGAGGATTTAGTGTAGTCCCTGCAGTTTTGTAGCTCTTAGCTTTCAGCTACCACTGTTGATCCCGTCACTCATCCATCATTGATTGGGAATCAGTCCTTGCAGATTGTCATTGTCCACCACTGCTTTCCTTCATCCACTTTTGAAGTTGAAGTTTCACAAGCTACTGTTAGTCCATCTATGTTTGCCTCACACTCTTGAAGACAAATCATCTAGTTCAACACTGAGTTCATCTATTCCAAGCTTAGTTCATACAATTTGTATGCTCCAGCTTGAGGGGGAGTGTTAGATATATTATATCTTTTATCTTTTAGTTAGTTTGTTATTATTTCTCATTTGTATTTTAGGCTTAGCCCATATTTCTTTTATTATAAATAGAGAACCCTATGTGTGTATTTTACACAAGGGAGATTAATCCAAATATAGTTTTTCATTATATTCAACAATCTTCTACTTTTCTTATTCACTAGAATTTTCTTAGCACAGGTAGAGGTCCTCCTAGTGCATACATTGTCGCTGAAGTGAGAATTTCCAGCCTGAACAGCCCTCAACTATGATAAAAATTATAATTAATCTAAGATAACTAATAGCTACAATGACAATTTAATATCAATTACAAAGGATCTCTAAATGAGAATTTTCCATCCTATTTTGAAGAGATGCAAATTAATAACTGCCTCTAGTTTTGTCTACTGTGTTCTCAGGATATTCATGCCTAAATAACTCCCTTAAAATGTACAAGAAAGAAACACCAAATATATATTTTCTAACAAAACATACAAATATACCTGCCATCCTTGGTCCAGAAATAATTTTTCCTTCGCATGTAAAGTTGGTGTATCATAAATACCCAACAGAGCACAACCTCGAGACTGATGCAAAACAGGAAAGAAAAATTATATTATAATTTTATACACATCATATATATATATATATATATATATATATTCTATTTTATAACTACAGTTTCATACACATCAAAGATATTTTTAATTAATAGTTTTAGTTTAATACACATCAAAGGTATTTTTAATTAATAATCAAAAGTCATAATCTCAACCTAAGATCACAAAAAAATCTTAAATGAGCCAATAACAAAAAATCCTAAATGAGGGAGAAAATGCAACATCAAATTTTAAATGTATTTAAACCTAGCAAGCTATCAAATCAAATACAAGTTTTTACTTAATCAAAAATGATGTCCATAAACGAAGACCAGTCGTGGTCCATAGGAAAATTTAGAGAAAACATAGGAACAAAAAATTAATAAAAGGAAGATTTCAGAAAGAAAAGTAAACAAAATAAATATGATAAGAAATTAGGAGAATATGAACTGTGAAGTTGGAATGAAGAACACAACAGATGGGGCTCAGGGGAGAGTACTGATTAGGAACATGAAATCTGTGATTTGTGGACAGAAACAAAGGATTAGAGATCAAGCTGTGATGCCTGAATAGACAAGAAGAGCAGAGACCTGCAGTAGGTCACTGGGCAGCAACTAAAGCAGATTTTACATAGAAACATTAAACACTGTATTTTGAATCACAGCAGAAACCCTAGTGTTTCAGATGAAAAAACTCATGAAACTACCCAAAGATATTGCTGTTATTACCCCTACACAGGATAGCACATGATTTACCAAGATAGTTATCATCCTCAGTCAAAGAAGACAATCAGGACAAAATATGTGACGTGATTAAAAGTATGCATTGGTCTGAGACAACTAAGCCTCACACCAGGTTATTGTGCAATTGCTTATCCTGTTTTGAGTAAGACAACTAAGCCTCACACCAGGTTCAGAGGCGATCTCTTCTCACAAATACTCTTTAGTAGTTGAATCTCATACATTGCAGACATAGCTCATCCGTCCAGGACTCCAGCATGGGATTTTTACATTTTCCAGTAAATTAAAAAATTTGCAAAAAGGGTTGGATTTTGAAATAAATTACAGGGTATGAGTAAAATGTGTTTTGAAACGATGACTCCTTTAAATGTCTTTTAAAATCATACAATTTAACCTCAAAAATTATTTCAAATCTACCTATACTCTGCAATTTATTGCAAATCTATCCATTTCAGTAATACTTTGAGAAAAAAAAAACAGTACCAAAATTGTAAAACCGACACTCCAGCTTGCTACCACTAACTGCACCCTCATAAATACAAACGCAGCACAACAGCAATTAGAGGGGGAAAAGGTGAAAAGTACGTGCACCGTTAGATAGGAAAAGAATTCCACTTTTGGGATGAGACATATCCAGGTAGACTAAAATTAATCAATGTTAATGTAACATCCAACTATTTTTATTAATTAATTATTATATTTGTGTTTGTGTTAGGATCTAGGATGATAGAATAGATTGGGTTTAGGAGTTAAGGGTGTGGGGTGTCGGTTGTGTCGGTTGAAAAAAGGGGTAGCGGGTCAGAGCTGCTATAAATAGAGCTCTTGTAACTCTGTAAAGGGGATCGAATATACTTTGTGTAAAGTCAGGCATTTTAGCTTGTAGAGAGGGGTTATGCCCTCAGCCAGGGAGGTTATGCTCCCAACTCATTCTTGTAAAAAAGTTTCTTTTACTGTGAATAATACAGAAAACCCATTCTTTCTTTCTATCTCCATCTTTTGATTGTGTTCTTGTTAGGTTCCAAACCGAGGAACCTAACAAATTGGTCCAACCCACCGGATCCGAGTGGGGGTGAAGGATCAAGAAGTAATCAAGAAACTGCCAGATCCCATTTGGAGAGGGGTGTCGGATTCTTGGGGAAAGGAGCGTGATGGAAGGAAGAGACAATTCTTGGGAAAGGAGGATCAACGACAGAAAAGGGAGCTAGCAGAATGGACAAAAAATATGCAAGAAATGCGGCAGGAAACTAGAGAACTCTTGCGAGTTCTTGGAGGAAGGGTGTGGACCCAGGAAAAGGGATTAAAAGGCAGTCAGGGTCTGTAGGTGAAGATCAACATTCTGTTAACGAGAATCAGAGAAGGAGAAGGGAATGCTCAGAGGAGGAACTGGATGAAGACCGAAGAGACGCCCAACCTAATTGGGGAAAAAGGATAGAACTACCCACTTTCGAAGGGTTTGATACGTTGGGGTGGGTCTCTAAGGCAGAGACGTTCTTCGAGTTGCAAGGTGTGGCAAAGGAGGAAAAGGTGCGCCTAGTTGACATCAGTATGGAGGGGAGCGTTGGCTACTGGATCAGAGCCTGGAAGGAAAAAGCCAAGAATCGTTCTTGGGAAGGTCTGAAGGGGGCAGTGGTGGTGCGATTTGGAGAACGGAACGGGGGTACCATCTTTGAAAAACCGCGAAAGAATACGTCCCAGCATCGAACGTGAATGATCGTACAGTCAAAACGGTCTACCAGTCATTGGCCGAGCAGTCCGAGGCCATAGAAGACCAGTCGTCTTGGGGACGAACGAGAGGTGAGGTGACACGATCAGAGGCCGATCGGGAGCCGCCAAGAGTGTGGGGTCAGTCTGGAATATGCACGGTCTGCCAGGGAACTGAACGGTATTGGTCATTAAAGAACGAACGGTTGAATGCAAGGGGGAGGAGCCGAACGGCAAAAGATATGGAGAAGAGAACCGCACGGCAGAGGACTGTTGGATCCGAACGTGAGAGGACGACCGGAACCGAACGTGAGGGAACTACCGGAACCGAACGGTCGAGGACTGCCAGCACCGAACGGAAGAGGACATCGGGAAGCGAACGTGAGAAGACAGTCGGACCCAAACGGAATAGGACGGGAGGAACCGAGCGGTCTCATAGCTACAGTAAAAGGCCGAACGGTTTTACACTCAAAACGGTCTCCTAGTCATTGGCCGAACGGTCTTACAGTCTCTCAGTAATTGGCCGAACAGGCTTACCATTAGAATGAAGGATGAGGAGGGAAAGGTGGATGGAAGAATCAATGCCCGAGAGAGAAGGATGGATTTTGTGAAGAGGTAGACCAGCGGACTAAAGAAGGATCTTGCCGTTCGTGAGGCACCTACAGAGGGGAGAGAACTTTTTGAAGCTTTGAAAGGCATCGAAGACCATTTCCTCACGGCTTATAATTCTGGAAATGAGGTGACCAGAATGTTGGAAGCTAATAAAATCCAAGAAGAATGGAAGTTATTGGAGGAGGAATTGCCACCACACAAACCTACAGACCTGAATTGGAGGGCAGTTGCCAAAGGGCTCCATTCATATGAGTACACGATGATGAAGCAGAGCAAGGAGATCAAATCTCATGTTTCCAACCTTGAGGACAAGGTTGTTCTGAAGCTGGGTGTAATGTTAGGATCTAGGATGATAGGATAGATTGGGTTTAGGAGTTAAGGGTGTGGGGTGTCGGTTGTGTCGGTTGTGTCGGTTGAAAAAACGGGTAGCAGGTCAGAGCTGCTATAATTAAAGCTCTTGTAACTCTGTAAAGGGGATCGAATATACTTTGTATAAAGTCAGGTGTTTTAGCTTGTAGAGAGGGGTTATGCCCTCAGCCAGGGAGGTTATGCTCCCAACTCATTCTTGTAAAAAGGTTTCTTTTACTGTGAATAATACAGAAAACCCATTCTTTCTTTCTGTCTCCATCTTTTGATTGTGTTCTTGTTAGGTTCCAAACCCAGGAACCTAACAGTTTGATAAATAAATATATAATAATTAATTAATAGAAATTGTAGGATGTTAGAATTAACCTGAAAAGCATGGTATAGAACAAAACTTTCAAATCCATACCTCCAAATTTCTTATCATCTGCTGCCCAAAAGCATCATCAGGGAGGATCTGTTAAGAATGTGTGCAAAAAAGATCCTACTTCATTCCCATGAAAGTAGTAGTCATAATAGAATATGAAACTATGAAGGCTGTTACCTGCTCATAAAGAAAAAATATTGCTGTAGAAAACATTTGAGAAGCCCAACCAACAATTCTACGACTAGAATCTGGATCCAAGTAGATCAGAACACATTCTGAAATTATAAAAGTTGGCAGACTGATAACAATAACAGAATGAATCAATTTATCACTCCTTGGTCATGAAAAATGAGTCTTAACAAAATCACAACTAAACCAAAATAGACACATACACACAACTATGCAAATTAGGTTAAAAAAGCCAACAATACTAAATTAGTATCAAATCCCAGGTATAAAAAAGGGCACCTACATTTATATTACAAGTTAAAAGCATAAAACTACAGAAAGAAAGGGAAAATTAAGAATTTCTACGGCTGAACTTGGTTCATTCTGGTCTTTTCCCATTTTCTCAAATAGATAATTGTAAAATGTGTGAAGGGACACATCATTGCTTTCCAATTATAAAACTCAGAAGCATTATACTTAAGATTAAAAACAGAGAGATATATTTTGAAGGGCTTAAGCGACCCCTCTCATAATCTTTTATTTATAATGAAAAATTGATTCAAGATTTATATGGAAGATTAAGGGACTATACTAGACACCTAGGTGCAAAACTAGGTATGACTATAGGTACAGCTAATAAATTGTTTAACACACTACACCCTACTTAGGCTTAATGATGATACATAGATGTAATGATTTTAACACTCCTCTCAAGCTGGAGCGTACAAATTGTATGTTTCAAGCTTGGAACAAATACACTGAATCCGAAGTCCCCTTAAGGACTTAATTAACACATGCAAGTTGGTCATTTGATCCAACAAACTCAGTACAAATTTCTTTGGACAACAATTTTTCCCAAAACAAAAGTGACAATCAATTTACGTGTTTAGTCCTCTTATGAAACACTAGATTTGATGCAATGTGGAGAGCAGCTTGATTATCACAGTACATCTTCACGATTTGAACTTCATAGAAATTAAGCTCTCGAAGAAATTGTTTTACCCATATAAGTTCGCAAGTGAGAGACACCATTGCCCTATATTTAGTTTCAGCAGTTGATCGGGCCAATACATTTTTCTTACTTTTTCATGAGATAACATTTCCTCCAAGAAAAACACAATATTTTGTAATAGAGTGCCTGTTAGTGAGTGAACCTGCCCAATCAGCATCACAATATTTGAAGACTTGGACATTTCCTTTATCTTCATATAACAAACCTTTTCTTGGAGCCTTTTTGATATACCTTAGAATGCAGATGATGGCATTCCAATGGCCACTACATGGAGCCTGCATAAATTGACTAATCACTCCAACCGCGAAAGATAGATCAGGCCTCGTAATAGTAAAATAAATTGGCTTTCCAACAAGCCGCCTATATCTTTCTAGATCAGGTAATGATTCACATTTTTCCATTATTAGCTTTTGATTTTGGTCCATTGGACTATCTACTGGCTTACAGTCGAGCATGTTTGTCTCGTGTAGGATGTCAAGCGCATCTTACTTTGAGATATTACAACCTATCTTTTGATTGAGCTACCTTAATGACCAAGACATATTTAAGACTTCCAAGATCCTTGGTTTGAAAATGTTTACACAAGTACTCCTTCAATTGAGTAATTCCAACAACATTATTTCCTATATCATTAACATAGACTATTAGGTAAATACATTTCCTAAGAAGGGTATTGAAATAAAAAAATTGAATAATCTGCTTCACTGCGATTTAGCCTAAAAGTTTAGGCAATTGAGCTAAATTTACCAAAACAAGAACATGGTGATTGCTTGAGACCATATATGAACAACGCAACGTACGAACCTTACTAGACTTCCTATGAGAAACAAACCCAAGAGGTCCATGTATAATTCTTCTGCAAGATCACCATGTAGAAAAGCATTTTTGATATCCAGTTGATGGAGTGGCCAATGACGAATTATTGTCATGACAAAGAGACAAATAGTAGTCAACTTTGCCTCTAGAGAGAAGGTATCATTAGAATCGAGGCCATAAACTTGAATTTACCCTTTTGCAACTAATTGTGCCTCGAGACAATCGACTTCACCATTAAGGCCAACATTAATGATATAAACCCATCGACATCCAACAACCTTTTTCCCAGTTGGAAGGGAACTAACTCCCAAGTATTACTCTGGTCAAGAGCCTGTATTTTTGCAATTATAGTTTGTCACCATCCAAGATGATCAAATGTTTCCTTCACATTTTTGGGAATGGTAATGGAAGACACTAAAGATATAAAAGAACAGTAGGAAGGCAACAATTGGTGATAACTTATAAAATTAAAAATAGGATGTGGGTTTTGCGTGGAACGAGTACCTTTTCAAAGAGCTATGGGTCAGCCTGAATCATCTTCACCAGAAGTAGTGGTATCAAGGGACAGGGGAGAAGAATTTGAAGTAGAAGATTCACCGTGTTCTTGAATAACTATACTATTCCCTAGGGTCCTATGTTGGAGGCTATCAATAGGTGGAGATGATGGTTCAGAAAGACTCTGATTAAGATTGCGATTGGCAGAAACACTAAGAATATTGGACTCAGCTACTAGTATATGAGGGACATGTATGACATGAATATCTTGAACAAATGGATAGAAGGTAACATTAGCAGACATGTAGTACTTCTTGGTTTCAAAAGAGTAATATCGATACCCTTTTTGAAGCCAAATATAGCCCAAGACACATTTGATTGCATGAGCAGACAGTTTGTCCAACCCTGGAGACATGTCATGAATAAAACAAATACACGAGAAGAAATGTGAAAGAAGGATCATTAGGAAAAAGAATTGAAAAAGGAACCTTATTATTGAGGGAGGAGGATAACATCCTGTTATAAGATAACATGAGGTTAGGATGACATCTCCCAATGATGGACAGGAATATTTGCACCAAACAATAAGATGCGAGCAATCTCAACTAAGAGTCTAATTTTCCTTTTTGCTATACCATTTTGTTGTCGTGTGTGAGGACAAGTAAATTGATGTAATATATCATGTGAACTTAAGACTATAGAGAAATTAGATGAGAAATACTCTTTGGCATTCAGAAAATTTTGATTACTTAACCGAATTAATTCTTGATCTCATTCAGAAAAGATGTAATGATAGACAATAATTCAGTATGGTCTTTCATAAAATAAACCCAAGTACATCTTGAATATTCATTTATCAGTGAACCAAAAGAAAAGGCACGACTAGGTCCCAAAATATCAGAATTGGATAATGGAAAAACTAGAATTATACATTGATTCAAACCATTTAGGAAAGGTAGATCTAACATGCTTTCCTAGTTGACAGGACTCACATTTTAAGGTCTGGAGACAACTAAGCTCATGGACCATTTTCTATAGTTTTGACAAATGTGGATGACCTAACCAATCATGTAAACAATTTAGGACTTGGAGATGCAACACATGACACATGGGAACTAGATCCAAGATGGTATAAACCTCTAGCTTCATATCCTTCTCCAATTTGTCTCCCTGAACCACACTCCAATATAACAAGATTTGTTATCAACGATTATTGAGCAATTTAATGTTTCAGTTAATTGGCTTAATGAAATCAAATTGAAAGGACAATTAGAAACAAAAAGAACATATTTGAGATTTTGGAAAGGGGAAAGTGACACTTGACCAACTCGTTTTGATGAAGTTTTAGAACCATTTGCCAAGATTATGAAATGATGGTTTCTTTGAAAGGAAAGGGGTGAGAAGAAGGAAGCATTACTAGAGAAGCATGAGTCAATTACCCACTAGTTTTAACCTTCCATATCGAGAAATGCAATTTGTTGATGTACTTGGAGTTCCAAATGTTTATGCTAAGTTGTTAGACTTTAACCTTAAATACTCTTCATATTCATCCTCAGTTAATTTGGAGTCAGTTGTTTCACCCTAAGAGACATTGGTTGTCTTGGTAGGGAAACCATGTAGGGAGTAACAGTTTTCTTGGGTGTGACCCATCCTCTTCCAATATGTGCATTGAGGATGCTCTCGACCTTCACGTCCTCCTCCTCTCATGCCACGTCGTCCTGTTCCCCGTTTGACAACCATGACAAATGGTTTTACTAGTTCATAACCTTCCTTAGTTAAGGCGTTGGGACTCGAAGAAGGCATGTAGGGGTAGAACTAGGTACAATTATAGGTACAGCTAATAAATTGTTTAACACACTACATCCTACTTAGGCTTAATGATAATACATAGATGTAATTATTCTAACAATAATCTTTAGTCATTTTCAATTTTAAAATTTTAGATCACATATGCTCTTTGTATTTATATTTATCACTTCCCCATAGATGTTGGCCACCACTGACAAATTATTGTTGATATCCGATAGCGGTTGAAAAATCGTTATTTTTATACTTAATTTTGATATTAAAAACACCCATTTTAACTTAGAAGCTTGATTGAACTCATGTTTTTGCTTTAGTTTTGTGAATAAGAGACTTGAGGTTATACTTCATGATTTTATCACTGAATTCCTTTGATTTTGTAGGCTAATTGAATTATTTGAAAGAAGAATTAAAGTACCAAATAGTTGGAATGCAGAAAAGTCAACCAGGGTGCAGAAAAGTCAACCAGTGCAGTGGGGCTGAGCGCCAGTTTTAGTACCGCTGAGCACCACTTTTGGGTGCTGAGCGCCAGTTTCGTGGGCTTGGACCCGTTTTCTGTTATTTAGTGGGCTTGGACCTGTTTTCTGTTATTTTTATGTTCTATTTAAGGACTTGCACGTCCTAGGTTTTGGATCTTTTGATGGCTTGAGCACAGAAACACATTTTTTACCCCTTAGGGGTAGATTTGGAGATGGTGATGGCTTTCCTCTTCTCTTTCTAGAGTTCTTCTATCTCTTCCATTCTTTCATTCCATTGTTCATCTAGTTTCTCCATGATAATGGAGAGCTAAACCTTATTTGTTGTTGGGAAAGATGTAACCTCTTAAACTCTCATATATTGAATTGATTCTTGATTATATATGTTTTACTTCATTAATTGTTAGGGTTTTTTCTCTTTGCTCTTTGCATGTTTTGTTTAACTCATTCAATTGCATGATCATTGATTTTGTCTTAATGGACACATACGGGGAAATCTAGAACTGGAGAAATTCTCCCTGAAGAAAT